TCAAAATAAGATTTCATCTCGACTTCCCACCCTATTTACCCATAATGACTTTTTCAAATGTTCTTGAACAATTTTTTCCATTTTCTTCCTGATAAATTATTTTCTTATGTTGTTTCCCACTTTTCACAAATGTGTTTTCAAAAAAATTTACTAATAGTTATTTATTATACAAGACGATAAAGAAATTGTTTATCTACGAGTGAAAAACTTAAGTTTACGAGTGACGAACTCACGAGTGGACTTTTTTTATGAATATATAAACAATCTTTATCGTCGTGTTTTATTTTGTATTCACCTACCAGAATTTCTTGAATATAAACAGTAAATAAAAATTACTTTATTTCACTAGACGATAAAAGACTACTTTACCTACTGAAATTAATAAACAGTAGACAAAAATTACTTTATTTCACTAGACGATAAAAGACTATTTTATCTACTGAAATTAGTTGATAAAAGCACTCTCTAACACTGATTACTTTTTTACCTAAAATGTCTTTTTTTACTGTTTTTAACAATTTTTTCATTTTATACCTAATTAGCCAAAAGCGTCGTTTTTAAACATATAAATAAATATATAAATCCTCAGAACAGCTGTCCTGCATGAAAAATGTGTGACTTTAATCAGAGATATTATTTTTGTAAAATAAAAAATATATTAATGTTAAATTTTAATTAAGGGACATATCAGGCCAACATAAATTGTTAAAGGTATTTTTATTATTTCTTTAAACAAAGCTCCACAGTTGTGCTATTTGGTTTTGCAAAAAGTTGAAAAATACTATAATTACATTTGATGTTTGATGCTTAACAAGTATGTATATTCAACTACTTACATATTTGAAATTACTATTTGAAATTTGTCTTGTGAACTAAAACGCACTGCAACACATAAATAGGAAAATAAAATCCTTGGAAATAGTTCTTTTAAAAACTTCTATAACATCATACTAGTATTCAACGAGTGTTTGGAGCATGTAGAGAAATAAAAATAAAGTTTTCCATGTACAAATAAGCATAAATAAAACGGCATTATGCATCGTATTGTTAGCGACTATTTTCTGTCGCTGTATATTAGTATTTGAGAATTATAAGAGCAGTAACAAATGTCTTACTGCAAATTGGAAATCTCGTCCTAAAATAATGAGCTATCTTATCTACCTGGGTACTAAATTTTTAAACTTTAAAAGTGTTGTAAATGTTTAAAAAAAAGCCTTTCAACCATCAATAACGTTTATTAAATTTTAAATTATAAATAATTATTCCCCATGTCGGTGTTATTTGCGACAGCAAAATATTGTCCAGTTTTATGTGCCTAATAAATAAAATAATATGGAATTATGGAAATGTTATCGAAATTTATCTCATATCGTTAAAATATATCAAATATTACAAGTATTTATTCCCTGTTTGACTTTCTGTCGTTGTGAGAAGAGTGTTTTCCTCCCAGTTCCGACATTGGGGTTTGAAAAGAAACCACTTTTATGGTCCATTAAACCTGAGAAATTTCAGGTAAGAAGCATTCCTTGCTTTGAGGAACTAAATAAACTTGCCGAATTTTTCCAGTAATTATGCGTCTCGGTTTTAATAATAAGTATACCAACTCTGAATAAGAAAGAATTAATTTTAATTTTGAATTCAGTCTCGAGTTGTCTCAAATGTAAACAGTGTTTCGCTCTCAACTCTAAAAGATAAATTAATTTCGTTATTAATGAAGCAATGTTATGCTACGGCACTAAAGAGCTTCCAATGCAATTATGCAACGGTTTCACCACTCAAAAAATTGCATTGTTAAAGTTGTTTCTACCACAAAGTAATTTATTGATTAGTTGACTGTAGAACTTGAAAACTTCACTTTACTTTTAATTGAAACACCTGAGTGTTCCAAGTTCGGTGTTTTAAAATCAAGCTTGACGGAATTGAAGTTTTTAGACACTTGTTTTGTCAATAAGTGAAAAATGAAGATAGTCATCCCGTCTAACTGACAGCAAACTGGAATAAAAGTTTACCGGAAAAATACTTCTGTCACTTGAGACTTTAACATTTATAGTTTCTCAAAAAGTTTTGCAACAGAATAACGCCATTTGGTGCTTAAAATGACACTCTTTTCTTTCATCCTGTTTTTATTACATAAAATTGAAATCTTAATTGATTATTGATTATCCTGTTTCAGGCTCACAGTTTATATATTTTTACTATATTCAATAATTAAATCCGAATCAGAACTTTTACCGCAAAACCGATAGTTTGCATGACTGAAGACTTGTTAAAATATTTTTATGGAGAGATTATACAGGGTATTCGCGAATTACGAGCAAATATTGTAACTACTAAAATAATTCGTTATGAAGACTAAACAAATTCCGTAACCAAAATTTTTTTTCATTTTCTCCCCCATGATTCTCACAAGCCGTTTTTGTTAAGTGGAAGTAAAAAAATCAATAAAAATAATTTGCATTGAATGTTGACCGTAAAATTTGACAAAAAAGGGTTAACTTTGTGTACAAAAAAGTTATCAGGTGTTTACATGCATCAGTTTAGTCAGTTGTAAACGTGCTTACGGGTAAATTATGCACACCAATTTGAAATTAAGTCATTAAAAATCTATGTCTTTACGCTATTTACGTTCCATAGTTTTTTCTTATGAATGAATGTAAATATCGTATTAACGCATAGGCGAAGGCGGGTCTTCAGTCTCAACTTATTTATAATTTTAACTCAGAATTGACGTGTTTTTGACACAAAATGGAAATTGAAAAATTTATTTTTCTTTGATGAGTTTTATTAGTGGTTAGAATATTTACTCTTAATACGCAAACACCCTGTATTTTGAGTAATTGCTTATGATGCAAACATGTTATGTACAAGTCAATTTCTTGTGATGTATAAGTCAAGTGTGTGATTTATGACATCAACCAAACGGAATTATTATTCGATATGTAGGGAAAATAATTTGCATTTTTATGTTGGATGTGTTTTATTGCACTATCACAAGCTTGGTACAATTTGTCGGTCGATTTGGGCGATGTTGATGTCGACTTTGAGGTACGTTTATCGGATTTCCAAGACGTTTTTTCATTCCCCAATCAAATGTTAACTCAGTCGTTTTTATCTGAATCGTTTAAAATTTTTGGTTTCTATTTCAAACACCACAAAACTTGACTAAAGAGCACTTCAAGAGCAAAATAAGTAAACGAGATTATTATAAGTGACATTTCCCCCACGAAAATGAATTTAAATGAGTGACTATTTTTCATGGAAAATGTAATTTTCTTTTAAAGCACTTTTGCTATTTCTATATAAAAACGTATGGAAAATCTTACGTAAACATCCGCACATAATAAATCCATTTTTGAGACGATCAAAAAGCTTGACAGTAACTTTCAAAAGCAAGGATTTTATGTGGAATATTACGCAACTAAGTGATATAAGACTTTTATTGTATGATGAAGCGTCTCATTTCCCAAATAACAGCAGCTTCCATGTTCAAAAGTGAACGTTAATGGTTCTGACAGTAACTTTTCCTAACTTTCTATTTAAATATAAAACAAAGTAAACACAACGGGAGCTTTTTATGTGCTCTTAACAACAGAAGTTCAATTCCATCATCGCAATTTTTGCGATAATGGACTTGATCAAAAATTAACATTTTCAATTATGCCGCATCCATTACATGTCACATAAAACGTCGTGTCGCCGATAATACCACAATATTGGTGTCAAAGGACAAATATTGACCACAACAAATTGCGCAATGGTACATTAAATTGAACTTTTCACCTCTCAAAATAAAATACAATGTTTTCCATAGTTTTTTCTTTCCTATGAATGATGTAAATATCGTATCAAGACATAAAGTCTCAGAAATGATGGGTTTTCGGCTAAAATTAGAAAGAAAAGTTGTCTTTACTCTACCTAGAGCGACAAGAGAAGATTTAAGGTGGCATACCGTAATGAGGTGAATTTGCATGAATTTATATTCCCCACACGGCGGACTGAAATCTGATTGTGTAAAGGAGATTAGCTAATATTGACTGTGATGTAAAGCTTGGTCTAATATAAATCACAAGGGTTTGTCCGTTTGCATCTTTATTGACTCAAGAGGCAGTAACATAGACACAGAGGTGGCCTTCTCTCCTGATTCAAATTCGACCAAATTTATCTATTTAATCACAGCGAGGCGCCTTAGGTGCTCCAACTTTTCAGACTTACGCCACCGCCGGCTGAATTAATTACAAACATTTGTAATTCCGCTGTAATTAACTAAATCACTAATTAATTATTTGCTCCATAACATTTTTAACCGGCGGGGAAAATATTTTAACACCTCGTTTACTAGAGTAATAAAGTCACACATTTTATGATTCTACTTGTAATGAAACTAAAGATTGTAAATATAAAATAAATACCGAGATGGCAGTCACGTCTCGGTCCCTCATTTTGGCGGAAAAATAAAACGAAAGTAATTTTTTGAAACGACTGAAATGTCAGGAAAGTTTCATATTAGTTGACGAGAACTGTCTTGGTGCTTCAAGTTTTTCAGCAATGCAACGAAATAATTGTTTCATTAATTTTTAAGAGTGAGATCACTAGTGCGTGTTTCATGGATTTTAAGACTGAAATGCGAAATGGGGTTAGTTCAATCGATCAGTCCGAGTTCACCCAAAAGAAACACTGCGGACTGAAAAAGGCACAAGGACGAATTCCCAATTTCAGCCGGGTGCTGAATAATTGCAAAAGCTCGGATGGTAAAATTTAAACAACGGTTCTTTGAGGTGTAATTAAATTAAGATTAAAATTCATTTCTTAACTCTTTTAGCTTTCCCTATTTAACTTTTTTATTTTTCTATAAAAATCCGACAAATTGTTGAAGCTTTGTCCAAGTTTAAAAAAATCTCGTAATAAAGGTTAACGCTGCCAAATACAAAGCAACAAATCAAACATCAATTTGAGAACCAAAATTTAATAATCCCGATCAATCGAGAGGCAATTTCCCTTACCTTTTGTCCCGTTTCCCTTTCTTTTATGTTGATATTTCTTTTCCAAGACGGTGGGCGACGTTGATGCATCACTGTAATGTCTTCGAACTTTTCTGCGTTTTTTCCTTTCCAATTTTTCGATGATTGCTTGGAAACTTTTATTGTTTTTGTTATCACTGTCAGGGGTTGTCACTAAGTAATTGCAATTATCGTCGCATTTTTTATTTATTCTCTTATTTAGCATGGCAGTCAATGGAAACACATCACTTCGGGAATAAAACAAGCCATTTTCGGGTAATCTAGAACAGATTAAAAAATTAAATTTTAAACTTGAGAATTTTACCAACGAGATGAATTATAATATTTCCATTATTTTTATGATATTTAATTAGAATTTTAATTAAAATAAAATAAGCGAGTATAAAAAATAAAATTTTTTTATGCATGACGAAATCTAAATGCCAGGGATCTGCTCATAATTATAATTAAACTAGGAAAGAGCTTTAAATTTCGCGAGAGCAGGAGTAGTGTTTACAGTCAGTTCACAAGTCAATTTATCTAAACAGACATACACAAACCAACAACTGCTTGTAAGCAGTAAGTTAAGTCTCTCTACCTCACCATTTAGTTTATTTGTAAAGACTTGTGAGTACGATCTACAACCATGAATTGCTCGCTGTTGTTGTAGTGGACATAAATACACATTATTCAAAAGTTTAGTCGTTTTTGTAATGACAAAAGTTCAAAACAAATCCAGAAAATATGAACTATTGCAACCAAGTTAAAGTAGAACGTTTATAATTTTTAATTGCGCCACCCACTCCTTTGAGCAAAACCAACATTAAAATGAAATTCAATTTGTATAAAGCTTTTTAAAGCTGTGCAAAAGGGTTGTGGTTATTACGCCTATATGTATATTCAGAAACGTGCTTTACTCTAGTTTTTCTTTTAATGGAAATTACTAGTAAAAATTTTGTTTTTATTGCCTCTACGTTTATAAAATGTCGTTAATTTTTTATATTGAAATTTCAAAACTATCAATTTTGTGTTTATTTCAACTCTTTGAAAGTTAATGAAAATGAAAGTTTCTCCCAATAAAAATTTTAATGAAATAGGATGACAAAGGAAAAGGTATTTTGTAGAGGTTTTATTAAGATTTTCAATCTTTGTGTAATTTATTTGAAAAGGGCTCGAACTTGCAAGTTCTAAATTCTTGCTCAGAGTTAATTTCACTTCATGATTGTGATTTCTTGTCAATTTCTTCGTACAAATTAAAGTATCTAAATTTTAACAGCAAACAAATTTCCTTACCGTTTTGTGTCTACAATTTTTAATGCTTTTTTTGCTGATGTTTAACTTCTAACTACTTTTGTAAAAAATACCATCAATAAATTTGCTAGTGACACCAACAATAAAGCTCTTGGAAATTTCCGTTGAAAAAACTAGATGTATTTGTATAGTTATAAATCAAAAAAACATTTACGAATTCGATGGTATGCGAGCGGCTGCGCCGCGAGCCCCCTCAAATTTTTACAATTGCAAATCCGATGAATTTGACCACAGAAACTTAAATGTGTTGGCTTTCTTGCAAAAATAAAAAGTTTATGAGTGAAATCGCTATAATTAGCCCTCGAATGAATCTCTCAATAGTCGATACCTTCTGTTAAAAGTAAAATTAATTGCAACGGGTTCTCTATACCATATTTAATTGAATCATTGAATTACCGTCTGCTGCTGGACTATTACATTGATTCAGTGGCAGCTTCCAACTTGGAATTACAGTTAGTTATCCGTAGCACAAGATCCTCTCGAAAGGTTTATTGAAGCAACTAGAAACGGATCTACAAGATTTACCTCATTTAAATGCAGGTAATCATGCAACTCGAGTAGTTTGTTGCAAAATACTAAATATTTTAAACAGCTCAGTCCCAGACTTTAGATTTTAACCATTCCATTAGTTAAATTTCGAAGTTTGGTTAACGTAAGTGGAAAGTGGGTGTAAGAGCTTTATTGCCCTCCGGACTCATAAGCAGGGCAAAGCTGCCACCTTGAGCAGTCATATATTATCAAAATAAACCCGCAAGGCAAACAATTTTCTAATTTCACAATTCAAAAAGTCCACACACTTTGAACTAAATAATTTTTTTCTAATTTAAATGAATTTAAAATACTTTAACTTTAAAAAACCATTACTCAATAACTATTNCTTTTCTTCGAACAGTGTTCGAAGAAGTTCGAAGTAAATCGAAATAATCTAAGAAAAACCCTACGAGTACTTTTTTTTTTTCTTCGTCATCATCTTGTAGAGCATCTTTTTATTAGTAAGAATCCAAATTTTTAAAATAATATACCGAGTAGTTTTTAAGATATGATTTTTTGAAGTTAAGGTTTGCTAATCAAGGGGAGAAATGCATGTTAATCTTACTTAAAATTGCATTTTGATAAAAGTATTTGTTTTAAGACTCTTCTTTTGCTTAAAAATGGTCTATTGCACCTTCTTTGTTCTAATTAGAATAAACAAAAACTGTTTGTTTACTTAAAACAAATAAATAGTACCTGCGTACTAATTAAAGCAAATAAAGAGTTTTTTGTTCTAAAAATGATTACTGATCATTGAGCAAAAAGGATCTAGCAGTTTAAAGCAGTAGCTTTAAATATAAGAACAAATCTTTTTCAAATTAAATCACTTCCATTCAGATTCCAACTTGTTCACTTTGTTCCAGCTTTCTGAACTTTTTTTTGAAAATGTTCTCAGCAAATGCTTTCTCATCACTTTCTAGTGATGCAATAAGTCAGTTGCTTCGTGTGCAACTGTTATCACAACAACTACTACCTGCAAGCTAACTGAAGCTAATCGTAGAATATACCAAGAAAATAAATCAGGTGACTTATTGCATTTAACATCACTCGAAAGTGATGAGAAAGCATTTGCTGAGAACATTTTCAAAAAAAAGTTCAGAAAGCTAGAACAAAGTGAACAAGTTGGAATCTGAATGGAAAGTCATTTAATTTAAAAAAGATTTGTTCTTATATTTAAAGCTACTGCTTTGAACTGCTAGATCCTTTTTACTCAAAGATTAGTAATCATTTTTAGAACAAAAAAACTCTTTATTTGCTTTAATTAGTACGCAGGTACTATTTATTTGTTTTAAGTAAACAAACAGTTTTTGTTTATTCTAATTAGAACAAAGAAGGTGCAATTGACCATTTTTAAGCAAAAGAAGAGTCTTAAAACAAATACTTTTATAAAAATGCAATTTTAAGTAAGATTAAAATGCATTTCTCCTAAATGGCGCAATACCTGAACAGCAAACCTTAACTTCAAAAAATCATATCTTAAAAACTACTCGGTATATTATTTAAAAAATTTGGATTCTTACTAATAAAAAGATGCTCTACACGATGGTGATAAAGATAAAAAAATTACTGGTAGGGTGTTTCTTAGATTACTTAAATTTACTTCGAACTTCTTCGAACACTGTTCGAAGAAGAGTTTGCCAATATTCAATTTCAAATTGCATATCATTCTAAAGGCCAAGTCCATCCCTTTAGAATGGTCTTTAGTTGAATGAAATCGGCCTAATAGTTATTGAGTAATGATTTTTTAAAATTAAAGTATTTTAAATTCATTTAAATTAGTGTGTGGACTTTTTGAAACTTTTTTTAGTGCATTTGATTTGTCTCACTGAGACGAACAAAATGATATAAAATTTGACTTTTTTTTGTCGCCCTGTGTTTGATTAGAGAAAATTAGAAATCAGTTGTAGTCCTGATTACCTTCTAGATCCTGTGTCGATTTTTCCGGCCTTGTATCGATTTTCCGGTGTGGCGGTTCCAAGATTTGTGTCCGTTTCCGTATTTCCCATTGTGTCGTCGTACGGACCCGCATTATTCTGGGCGTTGTTCGAGTTTTCTATTGACGCGTCTCGACGGCGACGGCGTCGCTGGCGGTTGTTAAAACTTTCCTCGCTAATTATTAACGTGCCGGCGCTGCTTGTTCTTGTTTTGTACCTGTTATGTTTCAAATGGTTTACTTCGATATTAAAGGCGTTATTGGGCAATAAAACATTCGAAGCTGGCGTGACAACAGACTTGATGAAGTTTTTGTAGCCGTCGATTTCGGCCCGTTTTAAACTTTCCTCGTTCGTTTTTAATTTTCGACGGAATAGGTCGTCGCTGCGACTTCGACGGTGGCATTGGAGATCCTTTTTTTCTCTGTTTTCGCAGGTTTCGCCAAAACGGGGATTTCCTGCAACGGAAATTCGACTTATTGTTTGCTCTTGCTTGATAACCATCTACCTACGTAAAGTAGGAGCACAAATATGGGGTCAACCCGAATTCGGATCGTGTACTCATCCAAAAAAAAAGGTTCTTTAGTTTCTATTCATTCTGCATTAAATGGTTTTATTTATTGCATCATAGATCATGTTTTTTGAAGCAATAATCGAATTTTAATCGTATTTTTTTTTAAAGTAAATACAATTAGAGACTAGAAAAGCTACAATTAACTATGAAAACGTAATAAATTGGAAACAGCTAGTTATTTAATGATGCGAGAAATTGTTCTGTTAACTCTCGTAACGACTATCGTTACGACTTGAAAAATAAAAGGCTTTAATCGCCAATTTGATACAACATTAGCCTAATGCCATGAATATTTCAATGAAAAAAGAAGATGCAAACAGTTAAGATGAACAGTTTGTTGATAGTCAGAAAGCTATTTTTATTCTGTCCCAGTTCCATTTTATAATCATAATTGTGTTGGTATAGAATATGAAACAGAATAAATATAATAAAAAGTTAAAATTGTCTAAAAGTCTAATTTTTTGTTGTCTTTTTCATCCGTGTTCTGAAACTTTTTTTCGAAAAACACCAATGTTTGGATCTGATTGTACAAAAAGTCCAAATTATAAAAGAATGAAAAGAAAATACAGAGTGGGAACGTTTTTGGGGCTTTTTGCAGAAATTAGATATTATTTCCCCTTAGAAAACCTCGATAGCTGAATTTCTAAAGTTCTGTTTAGAAATTTGAAGACCGACTTTCTGGAATTTAGACTCAAAAGAAGCTGTTTTTGATCAAACCACAGGACCATTTTTTGAAAATCACTCATTTTTAATTTCAAAATTCATCAAAGATCAAAAAAAGACTATTTCTTTTTTATTAATATAAGATGAGGACGTTTGTTACTTTTTTGTACAAATTACATATTATTTTCTCAAATTCATGAAAAAGTTGAAGCCCAGCTTTTTCAAAATTTAATTTAATTAACTAAAATGAAGGTTGTAATGTTTTTGAGGCAAGATTAGAAACTATGTCTAATATAGACTTATTTATGTAAAAAAAAAATTTAATTTAAAATTTATTAGCATAAAATGACGATGATGTAAAGACCATTTTTCGAAAAAAAATGTTATTCTTGCCAACAAAAATAAAAATTTGGGCCAAAATTATAGACTATTTTTCCATTTTTAATGTCCAAATTCATTAGAAACCTTTAAGAAAGAAAAAACGCAGTTCAAGGCCCTTTTTTGACGACAGTAGACATTAAAAATCTAAAAATCCTATAGATAACTTTAAGTTTTTCAAATCTCTGAACGGTAATTTCGTTTAAACTTAAAAGAGACTATGTTTAATTAACAAAAATGACAGTTGTAAAGGTTTTTGAGAAAAAATTAGGAATGATTTTCCAAAAAAATATGAAGCTTTGTTCTTGCAGACTAATCTTTTAAAGCAAAATCACATAATAATAGTCTTATTTATCGTTTAATCAGTTTTTATATAAAAAATAGATTTATTAAATACATACTAAAACTTTATACTGTTATTTTTATTAATCTAGAAACTATTGATTTTTTTGAACTAATTTCCCCATTCATCAGATATCGCTAGAATTGTTCAGTTAATGAAGCAAATTAAAAAAATCTGAGCCTGGCAAAAATTTTCCGGTCCATGAAGAGAGTGGAAATAATTTTTTACGTTATGAATCTTTTAAATTTACACACTTTAAGGACTACCAAAATAAGAGCAATATGTTTTTTATTACTCAGTGAAGAAAAGACGAAAGGGTAAAGAAGAAAGAAGAAAAAAAATTCCGGTGAGTTCAGGGGGTAAAATTAAATGAGTTCAGGACTACCGAATTAAAGCATTTTTTTATTTTTCAGTTTTTCAGACATAATTGACATGTCTACAGATCAGACGGTTTTTTTTACTTAAGGTTAGTCTACAATTTGAGATAAAATGAAACGTATTTGTTTTTTCTAAGTCATTTTCTGAGTAAATCAATCGAAAAAACCCCTATACTTAATATAATATTTTTACTTAAAATCATTAAATGATGTTTTCTGACTAGGAACACTAGTTGCAAAAAAATCCCTGGCTGGACTATCTCGTTTGTTGTTTCATTTTATGTATGTTTGTACGAAATAAATTCAAACTGTATCAGTTGTAATAAATAAACGCAGTTTATATATCTTTAAAACGCATTTGCATGGCCAATGTGTAAGTATCGTTGCGACCTCGATTCTGTTAAAATGCCAAAAATTTGCATAAGCGAGTATTTTCCATGCAATCTAATAAATTCAACGAAACATATTTTTAAACGCGAAACATTGTCAAAGAAATTTGCTATAATCCTTTCCTCTTAGGTAAATCCAAGCTAACCCCATCGTCTCAAATAAAGAACTTCGTCTACCCTTAATGTCACTTTATCACCCCTATTGCTTAACAATTTTGTGAGAAAAGTGTCACTTACCTTTAAGTTCCAGAACGTCGCTCCTCGATTTCTTGAGATCATGCAACGTCTTGTATTTCCCGTCTTCCCCCTTAATCGAATTTCCATTGTAGCTTCCAGATTTTCTATTTTCGTGTGTCCTTTTCTCAAACACCGCACTAGAACTCTTAGTTAATTTATTATTCGTCGATTTCTGCGTCTCTCTTCTTCTCATCGAATCCAATTTGTTTGCACAGCGGTTTTTCCTCGAGTCCGTTTCTAATGTGTCGCTTCTACATCTCTGTAAATGTCTGTCTGTTGGTTCTTTATTTTCCCTCTTGACATTTGTGGCTGTTTCTTTCGGTCGGAAATCCGAACTGTGCCAACTTCGTCTCTGGGTCGCGCCACTGTCTTTGGCTTCCACGACCAATTGCCCTTTTGAATTGTAAAGTTGTATTACCGGAAGGGCAATCTGGGGCGAAGATTTCGATGTCGATAATTGCCAGTTCCAGCTTTTGGGCTTTTTCAACTGCAATTTGATTATCTGTTGGAAGAGCTCGGCGGGGCTTGCTTCAATCAGGCTCATTTTTAGCGAACTGGAACAGCGGGGAGAAATCAATTTTTAATTATTTTTAAAGACGGGAGCTTCTAGTTGAAAGAGAAGGATTCAGTTGAAGCAAAGCGCAAATAAATAAACTCGAGCAAAATTACTTTTCAAAGATTAAAAGTTACATTCAGGACGATGATTCTACTTGAGATAGTTCCTGAAATCCGCAAATACTTTACTACTTTTCAAATTGGAGTTTATCCAAATTTACAGGAAAGTTTTGCCGCAGACAAACAACTTGAATTAAGAACTATCGAAAATGAACTTCTTCTCTCACTCTGAATGAATTATTAAACTTCTTAGGACTCTAATGAATAATTAAGAACAGCTTAGGTTAGTAGTATTAAATCTGTGTTTGTTAAATTTCTCCTTTGAATGATAGAAGTTGAAGTAAATACATTCCTCAACGTTATCAGAGTTATATTTATTGACATGTAAACACTTAATTGCATTAGTAACACCAAAACGTAAATAAATTTATTTTCATCAAAGAGAATCTGCATTAAACTTTATGTTTACAGCTGGGAACTACTTTTATGCTCTCGTGGTACAAAAAAACAAACCATTACTCTTAACCTCCGAGTATCTTCTTCTTATTCTCTCTTTCTAAATGACAAGTAGGTAAACTTTTGTATCTTGCTATTCGTAATATATCGTAAGAAATTTCCAAACATTTTCAAAAAAAAAAAACACTATCTAAGTACCTAAATCTAACAATGAAATAATCCAAGAACTAGTGTTTTTTTGGAACTAATATTCCCAGTTAACAAAAAATCTTATATTATACAGGGTGAATATAAAGTATGGAACCAAGCGGGTTATTTTAAATCATTTGCCTCCAATAATAATGAATATAAATATAAAACATGTAATTGTATTTTGCGAATGAATTTTTGTTTGTTTTTGAATTACGCGATTTTTTTGTAAAAATTGCAATTTACGTTTTTTTTTTTTAATTAAATATAAAGTAGATAGTTGTAAAGTGATTTGAAATGTTTAATGTATAAAATTGGAGATCACTATCCAAATAATAAACTCTGCATGTAATAACAACCAAAAAATAATAGGCGATATAGAAATGCTTAGTTCCTTATAATATTTTAATTCAAGATTTTTAAGATTCTGAAAAAACGTAAATCATGATGTATCTCAACTCAATCTTAAAAATTTTGATTCTTTATATTCTTGTAAACTTTTCTTTAATGTAATTGCTAAAAGAATTTTAAAACTTGAGAAACACAAGTAAAAGTTATGAAAAACTTGAGAAACACAAGAGAAAGTTATGAAAAATATAAATTGTAATAGCCCAAAATAGTTTTTAATTTGATTAAGTTTTCTATACGTTTTTTGTTGAAATTTTTTGAATTAATGCAATTTAATTTTATAAAAGCTTTACCACTTTTTAGTTTGAAATTCTGGAAATTTCGTGATTTTGGTCGTCAATCTTTTTTTTAGTTTTTAGCCTCAGTTTATTCTTCAAATTGTTATCAGTTGCCTCAAAAGTTTTTCAGCATTTTAAAATTTAGAATAGAAATAGAATAGAAATAGAATAGAAATAGAATAGAAATAGAATAGAAATAGAATAGAAATAGAATAGAAATAGAATAGAAATAGAATA